TATTTTTAATCTTAAAATGAATATTACTTTGCATGATACATAGGCAACATGCAAAAAGAAAAAAAAAGACATTGCTTTACAATCCTTAAGACTTAATAACAAAATTTTATATTTTGCATATGAAAGCATTGTAATGTTTACTGATAATCTGCCAAATTTCATTAACATTCACTTACTTAACATTTGGTCCCAGGGACTGAGCCCATCCTGAAAGAGTTAAATCAGCTGTAAGAACAGCTTTAAACTAGGACTAGACAATGGTGAGGATCAAGACAAATTAAATACAGAAAAAATAAGATGTAGAGAAAAATGTAGTGAAGATAAAAATTATAGAAGTGAGTTTAAAGGGTAGACTAAACTGTTGCTATATTAATTAAATACTAGAAGTATAAGAAATAAAACATGACTTTAGAGCACTAGTTGAAATGGAGAATTTTAATATAATGGGAATAAGTGAAACTTCTTTAAATGTAGAATATTTTGATTACAGAAATTTCTTTGAAATACAGGGTTATAGTTTATGTAATACTGATAGTTATAAAAAAAAAAGAGGGAGAGGAGTGGCTTTATATGTAAAATGTGAATTACATTTTGCTAAAGTTGAAGGTATTAAATATAATAGCAAGGAAATTGGATCTATTTGGGTTTATGTTAGTGAATATAGAGGGGAGAAGTCTTTTAGTTGAAATTTGTTACAGATCACCATATTTAACCAATGAAATGAAGGAACTATATATCAAGATTAATATTTCAGGTGCTAATGAGGTCACAATTATGGAGTATTTTAATTTAAGCCATATAGAATGAGAAATATTAAGAGTCAAACCAAGAGAAAAAAAAACTGTTCAGTATAATTTTATTCAACAACTAGTCAGGGAACTTACTTGGAACAATGCTGTTTTAGATTTATCATTGAATTCTAATACAGAAATTGTTGAAAGGGTGAAGATAAGAAAAGTCTGGCAAAAGTTTGAAAAAGGTCAAAATACTTTGAGATGAAATTCTTCTCCTGTTCAGAAACTATAGAAATCATCAAAGCGAATGATCTCTCACTAAAGCATGATAATGGCCCTAGCAACATCTGCTGTATTTGTCAAAGTTTATTCACCATTCATACTCTTGAATAGACTTAACCTTTACCTGTCAACACCATTTCCATCACATTTAATCCTTGTGTCTTTAGTCTTTGTCACAATATTAAACCTTGTATTGTTTAGTACTGATCATACCTGAAGAAGACAAACCAGTGTTCTGTCAAAACACTAGAATGTTCCACCATCAATAACATTCTTCTTTATGCTTATAAATCATTGTTTGCTAACCTATTATTAAGGTTTTCTTTAAATACATTAAAGGTAAGGAAAATTTCAGGATGGGTATAAGGCCTTTGAGTGATGATAAAGAAGGGCTCACTTTTGATGATTATAAGGTGGTTAGATAACTAAATTCTACTTTTTTTTTCATTTTTTACAAATGAAAATTTAAGCAATACTCCTAATTTTAAACAGTTGCTAGATGGAATCAAGATAATCACATCAGTTTTGTGGTTACGAAAAAATTGGGAAATTTAAAAAATATGGAAGATAATATTTTCCCAAGGATTTAAAAAAGTTTATGGATTGAATATGTGAGCCACTTGATATTTTTTATAAGTCCTTGAATAGTGGGCAGGTGCCAAAGGATTGGAAGTAGACTAATGTTACTCCTCTTTCCAAAGAGGTATTAAAAATTGCCCAGGTAATTATAAGCCTATTAGTCTAACATCATGGCAGAAAAGGTTTTGGAAAGACTGAGAAAAGATACTTTGCAAAGTAATTTAACAAAGTTTAAAATTTTGTTTGATAATCAACATGGTTTCACTAGAGGAAAATCTTGACTTACTAATCTTTTGACATTCTTTGAAGAGATAACTGCTCAAAAAGATGACAGAAAAGTGTGAATTTTGTATATCTGAGCTTATATAAATCATTTGACAAGGTGCCACATAAAAGCTCAATGTTATGACCTTTGTTCTTTTCGATTTACATCAATGACATAGTTGAAGGAATGGTCAATACATTGCTTAAACTTGCTGATGATATCCAGGTCTAAAGTGTTGCTGGCTGTGAGAAGAAGGATGCTGCTTTTCAAAAGTACTTAGGTTATTTGGTTAGTTAAGGTGATGGTTTTTTAATTATAAAAATTCAAGGTAATGCATATGAGCTCTTATAATGTAAATTAAGTATACTTTTGATGGAAATAACCTTAACAGTGCTAAGGAAGAAAAAGATCTTGGTGTTTTGGTTGGTCAGCATCTTAAGCCACCTAAGGTGTTGTTACTGTTATTAAGGTAAACAGGATAATAAGATGTATCTTAAAAATATTGAATACAAGTCTAAAGAGGTAATAATTTCATTGTAACACTCGTTAGGTTTCATTTAGAGTACTGTATTCAGTCTTAGCATCATTACCTTAGGAAAGACATTGAATTGTTGGAAAGGGTTCAGAGAGAGGCTATTAGGATGATACTTGGGAAAGAATGGGTGGCATATGAGGACAAGTTACAATCTATGAAAAAAGACGAATTAGAGGGAATTTGATTAAGGTGTTTAAGATTGTTAAGGGAACTGATAGTTCTGGTACATAATCTTTTTTTGTCCTATTTAATGGTGAAAATGTTATGACTAAGGAACACAAATATAAATTTTGTTTTTCTAACAGGGTGTTTGACCTATCACTCAGATGGGATGCTTTGAGATGTGGTAGATACAGTAAATTTGGAGTTTAAACAAAAATGTGATAAATATTTAAATGCTAATTGTTAGCTTTGAGGGTTTTTTTGTTTTAGTTTAGTTTTAAAGGACTCGACAGTTTATTAAATTACAAAATATAAATAATCATTCATAAATACTTAAGTTAAAGACATACTCACATCGTTATTTTTATTAGGTGTTTTATATTAAGCATTTGGTGGACAGGACAGATTTATTAGTAATAAAAAGTAGGTTCAGGTGAGTAGCATTTCCAAATAACTGAAAAATCTATAATGTCCACTAAATTTAAATTTTGGTTATTAGAGATACTTTCATCACCACCTGTTAAAGAGTGAAAAAGCTTAACCTTTAGTTTTACGATTTTTCCGGTTATGCCTGGTGTGGTGATTGACAATGACAGTTTACCGACTGCTACTGGTACTAGAAACAGAACTTGGAAGATAAATTCCTATGGAAAAATATCTCATTAAAATTACGTTTATTTCTGTATTCAACAATTAATACACTTAAAACTAAAAGTTAAACAGTGATGCCTGATTGACTAAAGAAAACGCTAGAGCCTACATACTATAACAGTATAAGTTATAACACTATTAACAGTGGTACAGACATTTTAAGTAACAGTAACATCAGTTACTAAGCTCATAATGTATATATTTGTTTTTAATTAAGTCTTACATTGTTACTAACCCTCATTTTCTAATTATTTATACTAGTATTGCTACTATTACAAATAATTATTATACAGTCTGCTAGTGAAATGAGTAAAACTAAAAGTGAAATATTTTCGCAAGTTAGACTTAAGAGTACGTCTCCACTAGTAAATTGGTGCTAGTAATAGTAGAAATAATCTTAGTCTTAGCCCAAATACCGGATTAGATTCAGACTAGTCCCATTTTCTAATTTGTAAATATAATAAGACTGTGAAGTGTTATCTGTATAAATAGTACTAGTATTGTATTAGTATTACTCAAATAAGACCAAGAGTCAATTGACTGTTGAGTGTTGTTAATACTAATACCTACTATTTTGTTACTAAATGAATCTAGATGTAGGACTAGAACCAGTAGTAAACTTATATTACAATAATATTATATATATGCATGTATTTTTAACTAATCACTTACAATTCTTTAATCAACATCTTTCTAGTAATTTATAACGGTTTACAAGTACAATCATCTTCCACCTTCACATGGGGGGGGGGAAAAAGGAGTTGGATGACGTCATAAACATTATTGACTTGATATTTAATCAATAAACTTACTGAAAACGTGAAGACAAAACATATTTTGTAATTAAAGAAAACACGATAAAATTTGCTAACCAAGTAATAGTACTTTAAAAAATAGAAAATTACATTAAATAATTTTTCAAATAAACTCTAATATTCGTTTGAATTAAAGTTACAAAGTGCCACACAGAAAAGAAGGAAGTTCCTTCATAAAATATCTCACCTTTTAAATGTATCCATAAATTCAAAACTTAATCGATAACAGTTGTATTAATTAAAATTGTTTGAGTTTTTGTTTAGATAATTTGAATTTTATGCCCCTAGTTTTATGTTTCATATTTCGAATGTAATCAATTAAGTTATCAAATGTGGAAGAAAAATATGTTGTAGTATTAACCTTCTATGAATTCGACACTGTTTCAACATGCTCCTAGTGTCTCAGCGGTACGTTAGTGGGCTTAAAAGCTAAAATTCGGGCTTCGATTCCTGTGGAGGGCACAGCACAGATAGCACAACGTGTAACTTTGTGCTTAATAATAAACAAACAAAAAGACTTCAACATGAAAACGAAAGTTAAAATACACTTCTCATACATACTCAGGTAGTTGAAATGCTATTAGGCTTGACTTGTGCATTTGTCAAAGTTCAAATAATTGATAATTTCATAGATATATATCCAACTTTCCATAAATTACAGAAAAATGTGCCTATTCAGATGTATCCTGGTATTTTTTTTCTATATTTTTGTACAGATGTTCTGCAGTATGATTTATTTAGTTGGCGTTCTTGTAAACAGGATATGAAAGATTGTAAACTTTCGTTAATTCTCTAGCTTAGATAAATGTTAAATACTAGATTGAGTGAGTTCTTATTCATTTCGATGGGTGGTGCAGTTGATATACTTTGGGGTGTAACTTCCTTGAATGTATATTTGGAATCATCGTTAACATAAGTAATCTAGGTTTATAGATGTCATATACGTATTTCTTTTCGTTTTAATTTAAACAGGTAAACATTGCTTGTCCACCTTAAATTTCACTTTCACGGAATGCGGTTAAAGTACAGTTGCCTTTTTACTTATTTTTATAGACTATTTCCCTATAGTACGAGCTAAAACTCTCCCACGGAAGAGATATACTAAAGAGCCGTGAAGGTTTGTATGCCACGTAGTTTCTGTAAACCTTCGACCATGTGGCAGGCTTTGTGACACCTGGAGAATATGTCCTATATATTTCTTTTACAATGACCAAAGATTTGAGTAATGCGTGTTTTATGGAAGATATAACACCATTGTATTTTGTCTATAGTCATTGCAGTTTCCCAGTGTCATTTGGATTTTCAGCAGAATTGTATCCAGTTTCCTCTGGGCAAGAGCGCTCTCTAATTTAGAGAACAATGCCCTCCTTAAGTATAGTACACTAATATATTTTTGATTGTTTTAATTTTGATAAATTTGATTTTCACTTTTCTTTGAATTGTGTTTGGTTTCTTTCTTCTACTCAGTAAGAGACGGAAATTTTGTTTTAATTCTAAATAACATTTACTTCTGCTCCTTATGTCACCTGAAGTTACAATTTTTTCTTGTATGATTAATCAGTGCAACTGAGAATACCACAACCACACTAAGCTATTTGTATAACTTGAAAATTTATCATCATTATTATTCTTGCTTCTTGGTTTCTGTATACAGACATTTATCTCTTCAGACCAGATGAGACAAACAACAAACTATGAAACCAGTCATTGTAGTAAGATCCTAGTACCTTATTTGTTTATATTATTAATAAAGACTTTCAGTATCATTTGCTTTAAGCGTGTATCATTTCCGTTACTAGTTTGTTCAGTTTATTTTTTACAAAACATTTCCTGAATCTATTACTTATTACACACTAGCGTATAGCTCATAAAAAATGACGGGAAAAGTACTACCACCCTCACCACCAGAGTATACCCTAACCTCACATTTCACAGCTAACTGAAATAAATAAATTTTGCGAAATCAAGCTTGACCAACAAAGAGGCAGAAAAATGGAGTCGAGGCAGTCAAACGTCGGTAAATTCCTTTGCGAGCCAATCAAAATTAAGATCATTCATGAAATGAATTTATGGCGTATTCATAGGATAATTATTGGTAAAAATCAGTTAAATTAACAACTTCAAATATATAGAAAAGCCAGTGCGTTTTGGTAACACTACGTTCCAACAATGTCTTTTATGTCATGTTGCTTAGCAACAATGGCTTTTATATCATGTTGTTTAGCAACAAAAGTATTAAGCTAATATTGTTGTTAGTCCATACTCACATGTTCTATTCCAGATGAAGAAACACACATATTATGGAAAAATCCAAAAGAGTTGTATGTTCTTTTCTTGAGATAATTGACGTAACTATTATGTGATGGTAGTCTTTGACCACTTCATCAAATAGTCAAAAACTTATCCATTGGTTGCTACATTAGCACAAACCATCATTGATGTGTTGGCTGAACAATCACTAACATAATTTAGAACACGCGAAGAGATCCAAAAAATCAAGGAGATGACCAGTTATTTTCAATTGTGTTGAACAATAGGTGTGGTAAAAATGTGCACATCCTCATATTATTCTCAGTCTGATGGTTAGGCTGACGGAGTGATGCGGACTGTCAGACATATGTTTGCTAAGTTCGAGAACTCAGACCATACTGGTTGATATGAACCTTCCCCATGTTAGGTTTATGTGCCATGCAAATAAACAACAGTTGACTAGTTCTTCAAATACTCCAATGTTCAGAGAAGAAGCTCAGATCCATTTGGATCTGAGGTATGGTTCTTTGCCTTGTGCAGATGGACTTTAGTGACTGCAGAAATATGTGAAGTGGCTACATTTTTCAATACTTGATGCAAATTAGTTTGTGTGTCCACAGATATGTCGGCAGTTTGGTTAAGGGTCAGGAGCAGCTGTATTGTAAGGCCTGACTGTGAGTAGAAACAGATCTCATATGCAAGATACATGTCATGTGTAAATATGACCGTGTTTTCATTTTTTCTTTTTGTATTTAAAGCTATATTTGCCCCTATAAGATAGGATTTGTAAGACTAAGGATATTTTAAAAATTCTGTTGACTTAAAGAATATTCAGGATTTTATTTATAATACAATGATAACTTTTAAACTTTGTTTAACGTGTTTTTTCTGTTGGCAGAAGGGATCTAGATTTCCTATATTTATCTTTGTTCTAAACTTTAACTTTTAATTTCACTTTGCAAAATGAATAGATTTAAGAAGGTTTAAACAATTTGATTTCAGTTTAGTGTTTGGATAGCATTCACTCCTATTGACTGAACTGACAAGAAGTCATTTAATAAAGCATTCAATCACTCTTATCAGCTCAACACATACCACAGAACACTTGACACTGTTTTATTTTTGTGTATAGATATACATTGTCTGTTTTTATTTTAAACTTGTGTTTATTTTAAAACAACTTTAGTGGTTTTCTATTCATTGTGTATAAAATTAACTTGGGGTTTACTTTAACTTACAGGGGGTGGCACACTGAACTGACAAGAAGTCATTTAATAAAGATTTCAATCACTTTTATCAGCTCAACACCTACCACAGAACACTTGCCATTGTTTTGTTTTTGTGTATAAATATAAATTGTCTGTTCTTCATTTTCATTTTCTGTTTCTTTCTTATTTGTCTTTTTTATTTTCCAATCTCTTTCTTCTTGGGCTTCTTTTAATGCTTTGTCCCATTTTCGCTTGTTTTTTGTTTTTTTTCCAATGTTTCTTCATATTCATGAAATCTTGTTGTCATATTGAAAGTTGAAGTTTATTCAAAGTTCTATTTTATTTTCACCAAAATAATACCACTTCTGACATTAATGTTATAACGTGTTTTATTGTTGTGTAGGCTCTTTTGGATTATTTGGTAAAAATAATGTGAATGTGAAGTACAGTCCATCTAACGATAATGAATTAATTAATTTTTTTAATGGTGTTTACTACAGGCTATGTTCACTGTTAGATCAAACGTCATAAACAGCATTTGAACAGAAATTACAAAAC